CGAGTGTTAACTCCTCAGAAGACCTGTAGATTTGTTTGAGAAGACTTACCTATGCTAGCGATAGCAATTGTGGTAATAGAATTTTATTATCATCTGTTTACTGCAGAAGGAATTAATTCTCAGGATACAAATTTATCAAGGACAGAAGAAAACTTTTCCTTGGGGAAAGATGGAAATCTACATAATGGAGAAAATGAGCAAGGAGAAGATGTGGAACAACCAATACGGCATGTCAATATTACTGGAGAAATTGTCATACCACCAGGTGGAAAAACATCTGTAGTGATCATATGCACATCTGTGTAAGTATTTCTTTCTTTCCATTGGTTCTGACCAATACCATGGAAAAAAGTCATAAAAATTGACTTAATAGTTCCCTTATTCTGTGCACAGTTCTTTTTGGTGTAGGGTAAAGTAAGCCAGTACATATTAGCAAATGATGTGGAAACCTATATTAGACCTTGAACGTAGTTAGCATTTTAATGCTTGATTCTGGTTTTTGTTGAAAGAAAATGGTAGTAGTAAATTAAGAAATATAGTGGGAGTAGATAACTTCTCTAAAAAAACAGAGTAAGGTGAAGATAATGCCTACAGCTTGTTATATTCTTTTTGGTAAACCCATTGCTCCATGAGCACTAGAGCTAATGTGGCTTTCCTGGGATTTTTTTTGTTTGATGTTTCTTCCAGTCTTGGTACCCTGGCATCATGTTCATGTTGCTACATGCCTCAATCTCAAGCTTCCCTGCCCTGTGATATTAAATGCAGGTTATGTATGCTGAAATAAAAAAAGAAAAAAGGTTTATTCCTTGAAGGTGTAATTTATAGAGTAAGTGGTATGCAAATCTTAGAAAATCCTTGAAAAACAAAAATACTTTGCTGTACATAATATTTCATGGTTTTAGTTAAGAATAAAAAGTGGCTTTGTGTGAGCCCTTTCAGGATTCAAGTAGGAACCTCATGCTGGAAAGCTTACTTTCATGTACTTTTCAGTTGCCTCCAGCTGTAGGCTCTACAAGCATTGTGTACCACAACCATTGATTCTTATGATCATAATTTAAAAGTTGGAGAGGGGAAAACAAAGTCAAGTGGTTTCATTCATCAAAGTAACACTGCATTAACTTTCACACTACTTCTGTTACCATTTTAAATAGTGAGGCAAGGGGTAGAAATTTTCTTAGGAGGAAATACAGAACAATCCACACAGAACTCCATGGGAGGCTGCAGCATGAAGGTTACAAGTGCTTGCTGGCCACTTAGAGACTGCAAATTCAGACCATAAATCTGGACAGTTCAGTGTCTGCACTGAGTTTGTGTATCAGAGAAAACCAGGCTGTAGCTTTAACCTGGGCAGGTAGTGTTAGTTGGCATGAAAAAGTGGTACTCCTGCTAAAGAGAAAGTAAGCTGGAATCCTTCTGGGATGCTTTTGTTTCAGGCACAGAGTAATGGTGTTGGACCATGTAGTTAGTGCTGAGGAGAGAATTGGGCTCTGGGTAGTGCTGGGATGAGTTCATTAAGGGATTTCAGAGCAGATGGTTATGTTAGATCTTTTGTCTTAAGTTTCTTAGAAACCAATCTGAAGAAACTGTTCCCTCTGATCTTTTCCCCTCTGTCAGTCCCCAAGCGCCACTTACACATATAAAGTGCATTTTTCACAAGTAAAGGGTCTTTCCTGCTTTCTCCACTTGATGCATTTACAGTTAGGGTTCAGTTCTGAGTAGCCTTAAGCAAGGTGGAGCAAAACTGTTGCTGCAAACAGTGAAGGGATGTGCCTCAGGTTCCTCTGATGGAAGTGTTTGGTTAATCTTTTTCAGTAACAGTAATTCCAAGATGTTCCTTGTGACAGAAGTATTAATTCTGTACCTACTATGTTGAGGGGAGGAATTTTGTTCTTTACTCGAGCTTTTAATGAAATTGGGGTTTTGAGATTTTTAGCTTTTTTTTTTTTTTTTTTTTTTTTATTTATGGTACCTAGATTGAACTCAGGGTGGGGAGTAAGCGTGAGGAGCTACCCTAAGTTAGCAGTTCATATGTTACTGAAATGAGAATCTACAATTTTATTTTTAAAAATACTTACGGCTGGGGAAAATAAAGTGTGAACATGATGGCTTTAAGAACATAACTTCTGCTTACTTGAAGAAATCCTGGATACAGTAAAGAACTCCTGTTGCTTGGCTTTTCTGATTTTACTATTGGATGCTATATTGAAGTCACTGTAACAAACGAAGAAGAACTACTAATAGCACCTGTGGAACCATTTTCTCCACGAAGGCCTAAAAGTGTTCCAGAATCTCAGCCAAGGAAGATAACAGTGGTTGCACCTAAATACAGAAGGTACTATGAATTAGAGCAAAAAAATAACATTTACCTAATGCTGCTCTATCTGGTATTGCTGTATCTGTTTTGTAATGCTGACAAGGAAATGTGAAACTGGGAGAGTCTGTACATGTTCATCTTCTTTACAACATATATATATAATTGTGGACATTACTGATAGGTTGTTTTAGTAATGAATTGCTTGACTTCTTTATAGATTTGTCAAACAGGAGCTCTTTCTACTACATAATGTGGTGATAAACAAGATAAACACTTGCATAGTAATCTGTAAGTAACAATTATGTTATTAAGAAAAAAAGATGGAAAATCAGAAATAGTTTTCTGAAAGAGTTAGCTGCTTAACTCCTCAAGCAACTTTGACATCTATATCTGATAAATGTTTCCCATCTTTCATTCAGAGCTTTTCCTTTTGCAAATAAGTTTCCGTTATGCGTACAGTATTTGCTTAGGTATAAAAACATCCCTAAACTGAAAAAGCAGACACACAATGTTTTCAAATAATCTGTAATTGGAACACTTACCTTTCTTCCCAGTATAGCAAACGTCTCAATTGTCACTTTGAAGGAATAATTGGGTCTGTCGTATGTGTGCTTTGGTTTTATAGCCTTGATGATATGGCATGTTAATTAGCTGTTTTTCACATGTGTAATTTGAGAAAGCTAAATGATATGTTATACATTTTTGTTTTAGAAATCACAGAAAGCACTTGCCAAGCTTTCTCCCACATTATACCGTACCAGATGAGTTAAGAAAATGTGTGGAGCAGAAGTTAGACATACTGACCTTTCAGCCTCTCCTAGCAGAGGTATGCAAGTGTAGGTTTATGTAAGAAAATGTATTTTATGTAACTGTGTGTGTTCAAGCTGGCCTTAATTTGACAAAAATGTGTAGCCCTTAGTGTAATAGAAGATGACGCAGTACTGTTACCAAGTAGACTTAAGACTTTAGTCTGTATCCTGTAACTTCATGGGTTGCAGTATGGTACAGAATCCAAGCTTACAAGAGCACAAAAAGGGTAAATGCAAAAAACTAAAAAGGGTAAATGCAAAAAAACTGAAAAGGAAGTAGAAGTACACTGGGGGTGGGGGGGATATTACAGAAGCTGCACAAAGATTCCTCTTCACTCTCACTTTTTAGGCATCATTGGAAAGGAGTTTTTGAGTGTCAGAACAGTAGTCCAGCAGTTGCTTCATAGCAAATGAAAGCAGAAATTCTGAAGTTATTGCAATAACAGAGGATTTTTTTCTGGTTGTTCAAAACTTTTTAAAATCCTCAAATTTAATTCACTACAGCTTGTTCAAATTCTGCCTGCCAGTATAGCAATTTCAGAATACATACACACAAAAAAAAAAAAAGAAAAATTGAAGTCTAACAAGAATATTACAGTGATTCCTTCTCCAAAACCTTATCCTGATTTCTGGTAGAACATTGCTGCAACTCACTCTTTTTTTTTTTTTTTTTTTTTTTTTTTTTTTTTTTCTTTTTTTCTTCCCCTAACTTTTTAAGGACTTATAAACTGGGACTGATACTTAATTTTTAAAAAATGTAAAAGGGTGTATTGTCTGCTTTCTAAACAGCTCACACAAAACCTGAGGTCACAGCATTAAGAGGGCAGGTTAGTGATCCTCTCAAAAAGAAGATAAAACTCTTAATGTTTGAAATAATTTTATACTGAAAGCCTGCCATTAATGGTAGCTTTTTTTAACTCTGTCTTAAGTTCTGTCTGGTACTGGTGACTGTTTTAAGTCTGCTCCAGAAAGCACTGCTTATTTGGCTTGTATTCGAGTGACAAGATACCAAACAGAGAGCATTCTGTGCTATCAGTCATTGTTTCAGTAGAGCTTTGTACTGTTGGAAAATACCTCTTCAGTGAGATGCATTAAGCTCTGAGGGAGAAAGTTCAGGTTCTTTCAGCGTGCCATAAGTTGTGTAATCATCAGCCAGGGTCAACACTGACATGACTGACTCTCTTCACTCATCTCTGCCCGGTGTACTTAGATTTTATGGTTTCTGCAATTGCTGAGCATAGAATTCAGTTTGTAGACTGCCCCTGAATTCAGAGGTTGAAACTGCCATTGTAGCAGGGAGAGACTTGGTTAACTCTGTAGCTGACTGGCTATTGTATCTGAGCTCCAAGGGCTGTACTAATTCTGCTTGGACTACTGAGGGAGTTTAAACTATTAGCTAGCGTATAGATGCATGTATTTAGGTGCCTTAATTGGCAAACCAGTTGCTGTGCAGTCTGTCTTAAGAGCGTGTTTTATATAATGTTAAGAATAATGAGTTCCACATCTTAGTGTAGAAGTTTCAACAATAATGTATACTGTTTTGTTTTTCAGCCTCTTAATCTAGATAATTATAAAGCAAACTTTTCTACTCTCTTGTGGCTTGAAGAGATCCATGCAGAAATGGAGATAAAAGACTTTAACATGAGTGGAGTTACTTTGAAAAGGAATGGGAACTTGTTAGTGTTGGAAGTGCCAGGAGTGGAAGAGAGCAGACCTCACCTGATTACAGGTAGTAATTGATGTGAGATAAAGCCAAATAGCGTATCAATCACTATTTGCAGTGCAATACAAACTCCATTTCTTATTCATTTGTTTAAAGAAGTCTTTCACACATTTGAACACGAAGTTATTAATCTAGGCTACTAGACAGATGAGCTGCACTGTTAGTCTCTCAGTGCGAGTCTTAGAGCAGCTGCTGTCTGAAGCAACATTGCATGTCTGTTCTTATGCATGTTCCGATACTTTAGGATTTTTCATGTACAAAAATTGGTGGGGCTTTCAGCAAAAATAAACTGTGCAATATAGTAATAACTTAAACGACAATAGGTGTATCAAAAGCAAAAGCTGGGAAAGTAGTTAAAATTGAATTCAGAATCTCAATATAATATACAAGATACTGTTTCCAGGAGGTGTTGTCTGATGGTGTCAATATTAGGTGCCTTTTAAAATGTAATATACAACTGCATATGGCATTTCAGAACAGGTACTTATGGATACAGCAAGTTTGCTGAAGTTAGTTAACATCTAGCATCCTGCAAATTCCTAGTTTAACCATACAAAAGAGGAAGAAATTAGGTGCTGCAGTGAGAATTTTACTATTCCTTGTAACAGTATGTTGCCTTTTAACTTTGTTTACAATTAGGTGATAAGGTGATACTGAAAAGTCGGGTCTACTCTGAGCATGTAATAGAGTACATTGCCTATATTACTGAGGTAAGCAAGGTGTATCTTCTATTGAAAATACTGTGGTCCACAGGTTTCTAAGGGGATGCTGGCAATTCATGGAGTTACAGACTAGTCTAACCTGACTTTTGGGAAGATAGATTTGTTTTATCTACATTCCAAGTGGTAATTTTGTATTTTTATTGTATTTCTTGAAGACTTTGGCTTCCCTATTCTTTCTAGATTATAATCTTTACCTGCTCTGAAAGCACTCATAATCTAGATATGCAATATGTTTGATAGCAGGTAAATCTAGGTGTTCTTTTTGGAGGTGATGGAGGGGTTCAATGCTTTCAGAGGTGCTTCTTTGTGTTTAAAATACTTAACCTTCATCAGTAAACTGACTTTTTTATCTTTGCAACAGATATGTAATGAAGATGTTACTCTTAAATTTAACGCAGACTTTGAACAGGCTTACAACTTGGAACCCATGGATGTGGAATTTGTTCATTGCAGGTATTTTTATAAGTTTCCAAAAAGATGCATTTAATGATTCCTCTCGTAAAGTGACTTTTAAAATATACATGACTGTCAGTTGATTGTTTTGGTAGATACAGGTAGGAGAAGGAAATAATTAAGATCTTGCCAATTCTT